AAATGTATGGCAGTATCACATGCAGCGACGCTGGCGTCAATGGGAGAAAATGGGCGAGAAGACTGGGCCGCAATATCTCTCGGGCGAGTCTGTCCAGGAGGCTTATGCGCAAACTCTCGTGGCCAGCCAATCCCTTTCACACAAACTTACCGAGAAAGGATTGGACAGTGATTCGGATAATTATTATACGGCCATAGATGGTTATCGTGCTTTCCGCGAGTTCTGGCAGCGTGTTGTGGCAGCTCGAGGTCAGCTTAACTCAGCTCAATTAGAGAACTTATTACCACAGCAACTTCAGCAAGCCATCCATTTCATGGAGGCCCATAAAATGGCAGCCTACGGTCGGAGATTCTTCATCACGAAGAAGGGATACATGGGCTTGTGTCACCCCACCGCACGAGCCGGGGATCTTGTGGTCTTGCTGGCTGGGGGTAAAACGCCCTACGTCCTGAAGTCCAAACTGGGGATCAAAAAGGCCTATTACTTCATCGGAGAGTGCTATTTGCATGGTGTGATGCAGGGCGAGGCTATGGCAGATGCAAATGGTGGTGCATTCGAGAACGAGCAGTGCTTCAGGCTCCATTAACACTGGTAGTTAAATTAGTCGTCGGGAAATGCGTCGCTCTGAAGCATCTCAACCGTGAGTATCAGGAGAAATTGAGTATTACCACTTCACCACTGCTTCGATCTTAACACCGAACCACACAGCAATCCTAGGCTCATGCTTCCACAGATTACTCATAAGCACTTGGGGGGAATGTCCAGTTTCACTTGTAAGTTATCCTATTGAGTGTACGGCTTACAGCTGTCTATGTACGAAGAAGTGTCTACTATCGACGCCTCATGCAGACTGTGCTCTCCACACTACCCTATGGGAGACTCATGAAGAGCTCCAACATCTTGGGGTAGTTGGGCGTACCCAGCCCGGTGACAGGGTCCTATTTCGCATGTTAGAGATAGCAAGTCCAACGTGTTCAAGAAATAAGCAGTTCAGGTAACTTACCCATCCCACGGCGCAGCTGAAGCCGTCGGTGTCGCAGCCGGGGTTGGTGCCGGTGACGATGTCGTTCAGCACGTCCGGGTTGGCGTACAGGGTCGGGTTGACGAAACCGACGGGCGCCTTGCCGGCCGCAAGGCGCTCCTCGTTGATGCGGTTGACGAGGGCGGCGAAGATGGGCGACGAGGCCGAGGTGCCGCCCTCGGTGCCGAGCTGGCCCCCCACGTAGACGGCGATGTTGTCGCCGTTGGCCGCCACGTCCGGGATGCCGCGGCCGTTGCGGTTGTAGACGCCCGTGGCGCCGCCCGCCGCGAAGCTGCCGTTGTAGTAGTACGCGTACGTCGGGGCCGCGGCCGAGTCGTAGAAGCCCTGCACCGCGTCGACCTGGTAGTCGGGCACGGTGAAGATGTTGCTGAAGCCGCCGCCGGAGCCGAAGGAGGTGGTGGCGACCTCGGGGTCGTCGGTGGTCGAGCCGCGGGGCACGACCGTCGAGCCGACGTTGGTCAGCCAGGGGCAGCTGTTGGGCTGCGTGGGCGAGAAGACGCTGCCGCCCTCGAGGCAGCCGTTGTCCGTCTTGGAGACCTGGTAGCCGCCCACGCCCGTGTCGCCGCTCGCGACGAAGATGCTGACGCCCTGCAGGCCGAGCTTGAGGAACTCGTTGCACTGGCGCTGCTGGTAGTAGGCCGGCAGGTCCGACTCCTGCTCGCCGTACGAGATGGAGATGACGTTGGTGGGCGCGTAGACGCCGCACTGCAGCTCGCCCGTGTAGCCCTTGCGGCTCTGCGTGTCCGGGTAGGTCGGGTCCAGCGTCGGGTCGTTGCCGCACTCGCCGTCGGCGCAGTACGTGCAGTACGAGCCGTCGAGCGCGTCGAAGAAGGTGTTGAAGATGCCCGTCGCGTTGCCGCCGCCGGCCGCGTAGTAGGCGTCGTCGGTCTGGTAGTCGACCGTCGTCTGCGGGTAGACGATGGGGATCGCCAGCTCGAAGTCCAGGTTGCTCTCGCCGCCCGCCTGCGACGTCGCCACCGGCGCCGTCCCGCCGTCGATCCCGTCCACCGTCGGGCCCCAGCCCTGCGGGATGTACGACGCGTACTTGGTGTAGAACGAGTTGAGGTCCGCCTGCGCGTAGTAGTCGCCCTCCTCGAAGATGCCCATGGCGTTGCTCGACGACACGGGCGACGACGCGTTCAGCGCGTCGAACTCGTACAGCGCCTGCAGGCACGCGGGCGTGATGGCCGTGGCGCAGCTCGACTTCGCCTCCGTGTCCAGCACCGCCAGGGCGGACTCGTCCAGTTTCGTGAAGGGCCGGAGCCGGTTCCTGGTTCCCCTGCTCGCGCTGTTGGACCCACGGGCGAAGACGCCCTCGGATCTTCGCACGCGGTTGGTGACGTCGCTGCCCTTGACACCCGGCGTGATGTAGTCGATGTGCTGCACCAGCTCCTTGGGTATAGCATACGATTCAGTGTCAGTGATCAAGCGCCCCTTCTTGTTCTCGTGGACCATGTACTCGGCATGGAGCAGGCTTTCTGCCTCCTCTAGAGAAGCATCGAAAGCAAACCATAGCTTGTTGTCCGTGTGCTTGATTCTCCTGAGATCATGTTAGCATGTTACTCTACAATGGGTTGACTGATACCGCAGTATGAAACACTTACTCTTCCGCGATGCCATTCGCCGCAAGCCACTGCCTCACGGCATCGACCGTCGAGTCCGCTGGCTTGAACGACTCAATGATCTCCTCCGAAGTCCAGTGCTTGCCATACTTCTCGGACTTCGGGTGAGACACATCCATAAGCCAATTCACCGCCTGGTCCAGGTTGCTCTGCTTCAGGCCGATACGCATGGGCAGCAGGAGTCCCTCATCCGGCCGGCTCCGCTTCTTCAGCCCCCTCTCCATACCACTGTGTCGCTGCTCGTGGACGACATGCGTATCGGGGATGGCCAAGACGGCCGCGAGGCCGCTCAGCCACGTGGCCGCCGTAGTCAAGCTGGTGATTCTCATGGCGGACCGGATCTCGACTCCTGGGAAGAAGCTACACTAGGCAAGACAGAGTCGCCAAGGGACCCGAGGTCGGGGACGGCCGAGAGACGCGCATACTTATGCTGTTATACCATCGCGAGCCCGGCGAGCACGCCCGCAGACCTTCCTAAAGGGGCAATATGTGCTGTGGTGACGCTGACCATTTGAATACGATGCTGAGCCATGCCACTTTTGCGCCTGGACCTCCCCAATCACCACTCCCTACCAAGTTTGCCGTGCACAGCATATCAGTGCATGCTGTCCCGGCAGCCGAACTGCCCGATGGGGTCTCGGTTTTGCGGTGGCAGGTGGTAATCAGTGATCTGCTGTGATCTGGCCAATGTCTTCGCCATACATTCCTATCGTGGTGAAAGGGCCGGTCCCCCATTTTGTGGGCAGGGGTTATCCCACTACCTTGAATCTCCGGCGCCGACCCAGGCCGTCCGTCGCCAAATACCCGTGAATCAGCCTCAATTCCAACCTCACTTCTTGGCTGGTCAGAACATGATGTCGCATAGGTAGGTCAACAGGCAAAGAGAGCCGCACCAGATACGAAGGTCACTTGCGGATACCACTGCATGTGAGTCGTGACCATCCCGATGTGCGACAGAGCAGAGCGGGCTTGCTTACTGGGGAGATCAGATTAGCCAGATGAAGCCAAGCAAGATATAATACCAACCAGTCCTATTGATTTGTTATCGCGAAGCAAAAGCCAAGGCTCATGCTGCCGGATCAATATTAGCGCCTATATGTGCAACATTTACATCGTGCCAGGGCTCCGAACGATGATGCGAACACTCGAGCGACTTAGTATTGTCGATATAAGTCGTGGACAAGTCCAGCGAATCAAAAAGACGGACGAGAGGACGATACAACCCTCTTGATGGGGTCGCAATGTTCGCCCAAAGTGCTCGCTAACCTCAGTTGAGAACCAAACCCCCACACTACAGGCAACTGCGTGCTCTTGTTACTACTCCCAAGGCCTTGAGACATATCGTTTGAGATAATCATCTCGAGAGCGGTTTTCATACTCTTCTTATTCTGATTGAGGATCCGGGATCCCCTCGGTATCAGAGAACAACGTTCTCCCAGAGCGATACAGTGTTTGATGGGTTGCTAATGCTTCAATGTCGCTGTGGGTTGTCTTTGGTAGCAAGCATAATAGCTACAACATCGGGTAATACGTACCTAGTCTGAAGGATAAGCCTTTGACTTGGTGACTAACGTACACCTATGTTCGCATCGTGTTACAACAATACAGGATCATGTAAAGTTGTATTTTCGAAAACCAGGCAGCAAATTCCAGCGCGGCCTGATCCTTTGATCTCTCATGCGATGTCGAGTAATCGCTTGATATGGATCTTGCACCCGGTGAGCTCCCCTGCCCTCGACTGCCACCTCTCTCCATCTGTCCGTACTGTCCACCATCCCATCGCATCCCATCTCAAGCCTCATTTCAGAACCTATGCGCCCGTGCATATTTCCAACAACTCGTAAACTAGACCACAATTATGCCCTTCAGGCACATGCGTGTATTACCTATAAGCAAGCATTGTCGCGTTTTCCATAGTCTCATTGACAAGGTGACACGCTTGGCGCTCTCGGGTTTTAGCTACTGCGGTCGCTTCTTAGATTATAGTTAGGTCTTCCCAATGCTCAGTAACTTAGACTCTCGAACCACCCTTTATCGAGGTGATCACTGTGATCATTTTCAAGTAGCCGTTCCTAAGCTATAGTAGTTGCTTAGATAAAAGCGAGTCTATTATCTGGTTGCTGCCGCCATTTAAATTCTTAGGTATTAGAGGATGCTGAGCGTGGAAGTAAGCTTGAATGTTGAGTTAAGCGATTTCTGCCCTGTGGGCCCTGCGGGGAAAGTAACGTTAGCACCTCGTGTAAACCAGACCAGCGCCAGCTCACGCGGAGTCGTGACCGACCCAATTACCGCTCGGAATACTTACTTAGAGACCTTTATCGAGCAAAAATTTCATCGGTTGTGTGGTGTAGTGGTAGCACTGCGGATTCTGATTCCGCCAACCTGGGTTCGATCCCCAGCACGACCTGACACGCATTGTTGGTGTAATGGTAACATTCAACCCTTCCAAGGTTGAGCCCGGGGTTCGATTCCCCGACAATGCACATTTTTGATTATCTGACCTGCCTGCATGGGCAGCATTGCATTTTTCTTTTCCCTTCTTTATTATTACGGATAATGTCTCTTTGTCTTCTTACTGCAGCGCATCGCAAAGGCTATACTGTTTTAGGCGCAGCTTAAGAGGTAAAGCCAGAGGTCCGGGGTTGTGTTTTAGTATAAGGGTTTTTGACTTTGTTTACAAGCTGTTAGTTGCCAATGGTCAGTTGCCACATTTTTTCCTGCTTAAATCAGCAATAGTACTTTTCGAGATGCGCAAATGCAGCCGACCTATTAAGAAAACACCTGTTAGTATAGAATAATCACATGATGCAGCTAGACAGGGCCGGGCCATCGCCGACCATCAAAACTCATTTCAACATGACCTCTAGCGTTGCACAGATACAGACCGCAGGACTCATCAGCTCTCATTCCTCGGCGCAGTTCATCGCCGATGAAGATGCCCAGGCTGTTGCCAGATACGTAGCTCGGGTCATTTTGCTTCGGCGGAGTATATGCAGTGGCGGTACTTCATATTTCTCTGAGGATGTTGAGGAGGTGAGATTGCTAGGTGTTTTCGTGATCAAGAGCGACACTGCGGACCCGCGCGGCGCAACCCCGAACATTGGCCGTCGGGGCCGACAACGAGTACTGGTAGATAAGTTGATGGCAACACTACAGCTACACATGACGCCGAACTTAGGGAAGCCTCTCCAAACTACTTCCGGCTATTAGGACCCGTAGCAACAGCAGATATCTTTATCTCAGGCACATTCAAAGCTCGAGACTGAGCTGAAGGTGATGATCATTGCCGATGCAACTCTCCCAGGCAGTTGAGGCAGAATAGTCCCCAAGACAGGGTGCTCTCGGAATAAGTTAGGTAGTTGATGGTCTTGGTCTCGACTTGCATTATGAGTCAGCAGAAGATATCGCTGCCTGTGTGCCTCAAACAGGACACCACGATTAATTAACAGTGGTTATAGCCGCAAAGAAGCCATAAAGTTTAAAACCAAGAATATCAACTCATAGTATCGACCTCTCAGAGGGGTTTCGGTGAGAGAAGTCGTAAGTCATCTAAACCCCGATGACCAACAACTCTCTTGGCGGGTCAATGTCTCTTGGTCAGAAAGCCAAAAATACTGGTACGGTAGACAAGTTGAGTCACGATACTCAATAGGAGACTGAGAACATGAAAGATATGAATCCATCGCTGTAAGTAGGTAATCTTCTGGTTCTGATTTCTGTGCTGCTTTGACTGCTAACTTTAGGCACATCTAGAGAAGACAGCAACCCAGGGGCCCCACACCGTGTGAGGTACCGTCTTACAGTACACTAGGCGCTCGGACCATCTTAGACACATGGTTCACATGGAGCTTGACGTTTTCGGTGGGTCGACCGCGTTCATGCCGCGTTTGCTCCAGGATAGCTCTTCCTCAATTAAACAACCAGACAACTTGCGATCACCACTCATTCCAGTCACCAACCACCAACCACAACATTGCGACGCGGCGCTGGTTGGCTCGCCTTTTCAGACGAACACTGCCACCCTCAGATTACCACCGCCTACACCTGTAGCCAAGGCTATTTTCCGCCCCAACAGCAGTGCAGAACGCGCTGAACCGACTGCGCGCTAGGTACACTACAGAACCAGCCTCTGTCTACAACACCACATTTGCCGAGCATGCTGCCAACATGGACGTGACGGATACCTCGGGCGCGATGTCCTCTCTCGAAGCATTGAAGCGGACAGCCATCGCAGAGCTGGGCCCAGACCTTACAGAACCCTCCACCAGGGTAGTGCACGGCCTTGTGACAATCACTTGGCCCTACAACTCTGTCAAGAACTCTTTCGCCTTCATCCTGGCTGAGCCCGACTTCCGAATACGTCGCAACAAGGGACAGGTGCGGCTGAACTTCACTGGCGCCGCTGCCAAGGCTGCTGGCACATCAGGCATAGGAAGCAATGATGAGCTTCTTGTCAGCTTAGAAGGGGCTACTTGGGAAGCCTCAGCATCCAAGACGCGCCTCAGCATCCCCGATGCGAACATTGACTGGCAGATGACTTTTTCGCAGAGGGCCTCCTTGAAGATAACCTCGGGCGAGACTGGCGAAACGAAATATGTCACCGTCGACGATGCTAGCTTCGAGCAACCCTCCCAGCAAATTCCCGAAACTCTCACGAACGACTCTAGCCCGACCGAAGACTTCATTGCGCCGACCTTTCCTGCCCAAACGCCTGTTAAGGACACACGTGTAGAAAGGTTGGCACAAGACGAATTCGAGTCCCCCGCCTTCATCAAAAGGGCCAGGCTATCATATGGCTCCCTTTTCGAGGGTGGCTATGATATTTTCGAAGACGATGGTGGGGTCAAGGGGCAGGGCCGTAAGAGAACCAAGTTCGGGGAGCACCGCAGTGCATGGCGTTATAGCAGTCAGTCTGCAAGCCCTGAGCCCCCAAAATCGCCCGATGGCGAGGCAATCAACCCAGCAGAAAAACCAGCCGAGTCCTCTCCTAAGCCAGCAATGGCGGATGAAGCGTGCCAGACAATGGAATTGGACGCTACGACCTCCCCGCCGACCTCGACTGCGATTCAGAAGTCTGATGAAGTCAGACCAAGTACAGCGCAAAGCCAGGTGCCGGCAACCCATTTCCGAGAGACCATGACCCAAAGAGCCGATCAACTATTGCCGATGGATAGCACAGACCCAGCAGACGCGACGGCGAATACCACATCTACTGCTCCTACCCTATTCGCCGACCCGGCTTTGGATACAAACCCATTCCAGTCTGCTCGACAATTTCCACCCTCTATTGGCGCGTCTGAGAGCCCATGGAACACTGCTCAGAACGCGTTCACTCCTGCTCCCTCCTCGAACCCTCTGTTCATGCATCCGCAAATAGTCGAGGAAACGTTTAGTGGTGAATTAGGAACGCCGTTCCCATCTCAGCAGATGGCATCGTTCCACGCGACTGGGTCAAGAAGTCAATCACATTCGCCGGGACGTGCCGGCTACATCAGCGAATACCCTGATCCAGTCGGTTCTGGTGGTGATGAGGTCGGCATAAATGTCGACGAAGACCATCCCGTCCACGCCGCGCAGCCAGCAACCATATACCCGTCTTTAGAGAACGTGGACGAAGTCGTATATGGGCATCTTCGAGACGAGACATCCGCCAACTACCCGTCGTCCTACTTGGAGAATACCCGAGTGCTGCCGCCTTCAGATGCTGATCGGGAGGCAGGCCCGTTCTCAGGGGTGTATTCGGACGTTGCGCACATGGCCCGATCTTCTTGGGCCACCATCAATACCCCTTCGCAAGCTACAGCAATGCCACCGACTGGTCGTTTGGCCAGTCGGGGTGGATCAACATCAGATGAAGCCATGGGCACTGATGAGAGCGATTCAGCAATGCCACGGACTGATGGGTTGGCCAGTAGTGATGGTTCAGCCCCGGACCAAGCCTTGGTCATTGATGAGAGTGATTCAGACGCGGATCCGGAACCTCCTCCAGTTGCTGTCGAGGACACTGTCCTCAACGGCCGGGCGGACGCTTTGGAAATGTACGAGGACGCAGAAGTCGAAGATGAGGTTGATACCCAATTCTCAGACGATGATGAGCCGGCATACGATGCGGACGAGATGGGCGGAGACTACGATGCCAGGAACTACGAAGGCTCCGAAGACGATGAGGACGATATTCATGATGAAGATCTGCGAGATCATGATCTCGAGCCTGCATTCGATGATGGTAGAAGCTGGGAAGAAGGGGACGAAGACGAATCGGCTATTGATGAATCTGATAGAGAATTCGACAGCGAATACGACAGCCAATACGACATGGATGAGGGGGAATTCGAACAACAAGCCTCTCAGCCGCGTCTCATTTCCCAGTCAGGTCCTCCCGTCATCGACCTAATTTCGTCATCAGAAGACGAAGAGGAGTCCGAAGAAGGAACCAAAGCGTACGATGATGGAACAGGAGAGGAGGGTGAAGACGTTGATGATGAAGCGGATGCCGAGGAAGATCAAGAAGATGTTGGCGAAGAAGGGGAAGAACTTGCAGCAACCCAGAGCGCACAACGGGGATCATATAAGCTGGCAAATGAGTTAGCCGCATCACAAGTTCCAAACACATCTTCAGCATCTCATGCTGGACTGGTGCTCCCCGAGCAGCAGGGTGTGGGCGACCAGCTAGAGATGTCTCCGGAGTACGGCCCTCCAGCCGAGACTGCAGAATTGAGACCTGAGGATACGTCCATTCAATCACGCGTTTCGGAGATTTTCGAACCGGAAGAAGTCGCCACTGCGGCATCTTCACAACATGACGAAGATCTTCATCAAGTCGTCGACCGTACTGAGGAGGAGCGAGAGGTTTCCCGCAACGAAACTCCAGAAGATGATGTCGATGAAGTCGCCGAGCAAGCTCACATGGACACTGATGTGCAGTCAACATCTGCGGCTCCTCAAGAATTACTCGAGTCTGTCCTCCCCGATGCGCCTATATCGAGTCTAGACAACACAGCAGAGGATATTGATGGCCAACAGTCTGCGGCTATAGGTGATCACTTATCTGCAGCAGACGGGCTTGAAATGCTCAGCCAAGTCATCGAGAAAGAATCCAAAGCTCAGCAACAAGCTCCGCCTGTTGAATATGATGAGGAGCCTTCTGACAAGGACTCGTCTATGAGCGAAGTACAAGTCGTTGATGACCAAGACCCCGTGGAGATCGATCACCCAGCATTTCATGATACCCATGACACCATCGATCCCTTGCCGAACGATTCGACTGTGAATATCACGGATGTCGAGGCTGAAGGCCAGCCCCAGCTAGATGTTGGAAGCAAGGAGCCCGTCGCCGCTGCACCGTCATCTCCGCCATTGACACATTCCTTTCCGTCGCAGATTCACGAGGACCAAACGGAGACAACATTACCAGAGAGTGTAGCTATGCAAACAGACACGTTCGCGGATCAGCTCCCAACGCCTTCAGATACCCAGGCCAGGG